CAAGTGACAAGGGCACCAAAACGGCCGAGCTCTTAGAAAGGGACAGGGAAGACACACGGGCCAGTGCTAAGAAAAGACGAAGCAAACCAGACAGCCTTTGCGTCCAAGGTTCAGCACATCTTACAGATGCAGGCACAAGAAATTAAGGGACTGCTGCTGGTGGGCTGTGACGCCAAGTCCTATAGCGAGGGGCCCTGCCTCTGCCCCCGGCCTGCAGCTGACAGCCACAAGGGCAATATGAAGTGATGCTGAGCAGAGCCAGCAGGCAGGGAGGAGGTGGATCTCGCCTCCCGAGTGCTCCGTCCCTCCCACGCACGCTGCTTGAGTGATTTTGCTTTAATTATCATGGGCCTCACTCTGGCTGGGCCAGTGCAGCTTGCCCCTCAAAGGCACCTCCAAAGAATGTCGCTTCATGGGCAACAAAGTTTGTTCCCAGTGGTAGGAAGGGCCCCCTACGTGTCAGCTACATCCTTAGAGGGCCCATCAGTCCCTGGGCCACGTCCTGGTTTAGATCCTTCGACCAGCACCTGCCCATCTCCTGCTCAGCCCGCCCTGCCCAGCCTGCCCAGGGGCTGCTCGGACGCCTCAGAACGTCTCTCGTTGGCCTCCCGCAGAGAGCTCCCAGCACAGACCGGCTGAGAGAGAGACTTTCACCCCAGAAATGGCCCGTCAGAGCCCTGGGGGAGGTGGAGGTGGAGGTGGTGGGTAACTTACAAGATCGGGCGAGACTGGAAGTCCTCCTGGTTCATCCTCTCAGACTGGCGGATTTTCAGGATCTCGGTGTAGCTCAGGTTCTGCAGTTTGCTCTTGAACTGGTCCAGGGAGCTAGGCTTGGTAGTAAGAGCTCTCATTACCTGCTCCTTCACCACCTGCATTACCTGTCGGTTAAAGGAAGACCATGATGTTCTGGGGTTGACCTTGTCCATTCAGAAAAGTCTCCAGCTAACAGCTCCCTGGCTCCGTGAACCCCTTTGCGTGCTCTCCGCCCAGACCTTGAGCGTGCTTTTCCCAAGAGTAAACTACCATTGTACACGTCTCCTATTTTCTTCTGTATCGTTGGAACCACGGGGAGGAGCTGGGTTGGGGGTGGGGGCAGAGAGGCTTGGTGTGGGAGGAGCACTTCACTGGATCCAGATATGATGCGACTGCTACCAAACCAACACTATGGACAACACACATTCAAGAATGAAAGAAGTCCAAGCAACAGCGAGATGTCCGCATGAACATTCTTTTTCCCCAGGAGAAAACCGCTGAGACACGATGAACTGGAAGTTCAGTTGGCATCAATTCAAATGAATATGAACCGATATCCACCAACCCACCCCTCCCAGATGCTATCCCCATGTAGTTAAGGCCTAAGTGTTCATACAAATGATGCTTTGGGATCATACAAATGCCTCTTTGAGGTCTATTATATTACAATAGACATATCCCCCTAGAAGCCTCAAGAAAAAGAGAGTTATCTGGTAATTTGTGCCCCAGGACAGAGCCGGCCCATAAAGAGGCAGTACCCGCTGCCTCTGTCAATGTGGGCTCACCTCCATGAGGGTGCAGGCAGCAGGCGAGGCCAGCAGACACAGAGGCAGGGGTCTGCAATGATTGGCTGCTGCTTTTTTTTTTAACCCTCCACTAAGGCTGAGAACAACTGTTACTGTTGATAAGGGAACTGCTATGCGCTGTATATGATGGTAGGTGCTTTAAATACGTTCCCTCTTTAAATCCACCAAGGTCTAGGAGGTAGTTATTATCATTATTCCATTTACATATAAAGAAACAGAGGCTTCGAAAGAAACATGAAGTGACCAGTTCAAAATCAGACAGCTGGTTGGGAGGTGGTGAGCTGGGCTTAGACCCAGGCTTGTCAATACTCTACTATCCTGCTGCCCAGGGGTGGCTTCGGAGCTTCATGTAAGAGAACATCCCAAGTGCAGGTCCGCTACATGCTAGATCCCGTGCCAGGCACTGTGTGCTTACTGCCTCAGTGAGAGGAGGCGTTATTATCACTATTTCAAAGGGAAAGAAACCGCTACTGAGAAAGATTGAGGCCTTGTCCAAGGTCGCAGATACCCAGCTGAATCCTAAGACACCAATAATCCAATATGGCGGACACAGCACATATGTCATCACGTGAACAGTCCCGGGGCAGTGCTCACCCTTGGTCACTATAAATGCGACCCCAGCCCACTCCTGATGATCACTGCTCACTCACTGTTCATGTATGGTAATGACCCGTCACTGCCCACGGACAGTCCCACCAAGATGCCATGTGCATGGAATCTTATTGTCACGGAGGTGACCATCTCACAGCATGGAGACGCTGTGGCAAACCGGAACCTCCCCATCACTGCTAGGCGATGACAACATCTTCCCCTCAGCACACAGCGGGCAACTGAAACGCGCTCCCAACATTGGCGGCTCCTCGCACCTGCTGAGCTCTGCCCGGCGGCACCTCCCCTCTGCAATGGTGCAGGCGGCGAAGCTGGCTGCTCAGCTTTCTTTCTCTAAGTGTACACTCTCTAGTCACCCAAGGACCGTCCAGCGGTCTGAAGGGGTGTAAGGGGCACTGGGAGGCAGACCAGGAAAGTGAATCCTTGGCAGCAACACTAAAAACCATTACCCACCAGGCCAAAGTATGCCTACAGGCCCAGGAGTCCCCTAACCCAGGATGCCAGGTATCTGCACTCTTTTCTCATCTGCATACCTGTGGCCAACATGCCCCTCCTCCTCCCCGCTCCCAGGAATCCCTTGTCAACTGAAAAGGGCTCTACTGCGGGTAAGATGAGTCATAGGCATCTAAAAGGATAAAAAAACCAAAACAACTTTCCAGTGCTATCAGCCCTCATTTTGCCTTATAGTCTTTGGGAATCCAAGGCCATAGTACGAATACCCTCTACAAGGTAACATAGGCATTTCCATAGGGACTTTCTGGGCAGTGATATATCTTATCCCCAAAATGAACATCATGGCAGAAACCCCAGGAAACTACAGAAGACACCTTGAGAGATGACAGACCTGTCTCACTCACTCGCGGCTGCTTTCCCAGTAGGTACCACCGCTCTCAGAGGAGCTCCGTGCCACGCCTGCCCTGTGCCGTGGCTGCTGGGACAGCCGTGCAGGAAGGGCATCAAGGCAGTTTGCCTCCAGACCTGCCTCCCGAGTCTCCAGGCCATGGCTGTCTCACCGCCCGAGTGTAACACAGCTGGCCAACAGCTTACATTCATTGAACGGTATTGATAGAAACTCTTCTAAGCATTATTTCTGAAGCCAACACTGTAGACATTACTGAGTCCTTATTGTGCGTCTATACTGGGAATTCAAAGATGAATAGCATATGGCCCCTGCCTTCTGTGAACGTGTGGTCTAACAAATGAGCTAGACACGGGCAAAGCTCATTACAGCAGGAGTGAGGGCGTGATGGGCAAAACGGACTGATGGGGGAGCTCGGCAGGTGGGGAGGCTTCTGGGGAAAAAGACATCATCTGGCTTTACAGGAAGAACGAGTGTCCAATGGTGTGGAAACAGATGAACAACCTGGGCACATCTATACATGAGCCACGTCGAACCCAGGCTGCAGCTGAACTGGAACCATTTACATAATCATTGTGTCATGTCCCCAGCACAACTGCATAGGAACACTTCCAGATGACCTTCCACCAATCGGTTTCTTTCTTTTCACTCAAGCACACTGCTAAGTTTGGGACCTTCACAAATGCTGAAATGGTGACCATCGTATACCATGCGCTTTACATGGTGGTCTAATCTACTCCAGGCTGATCTCCGACCCTCTGCTGTTTCCTGTGGTGGGCAACTCGGGCGCTGCCCCTTTTCCCACTCAGAGAAACTCAAGAGTTGGGCCAAGGACATGATTATCATCTCCCAATGTCATGTGACCTCCTGGTGGGAGGTACAACATATCACGGAAGTAAAGATCAGTGGTTAGAACACCAGAAACAAAAAGTGATTTTTAAATAGAATCAGGTTAAAGCTGGGAGATTTTAAAGGCATCTCCACTTCTCACATTTTCCAGATGGGGAAATGAAAGCTCAAATCACCAGGTGACCTCCTACTTACTGTGTTTCCTTAAGGGACTGTCACAGAAATGACCATCACCAGACCACCTCCCACTAGCCACCATGGTCCCCCCACTGACCAATCAGCATCCTTCCCCAGGCTTTTCTGACTGGGCTGGAGGCGGAGCTGAAGCAAGCTCTTTCCCCTCAAACTGAGAACTAGGTGTTCCTTAATCGGCGGGACAGCGGAAGACAATGATCGCTGTCAAGAGAGTCAGCCAGAGGAAAGGTAGACGTGTGTGTAGGGGTGTTCGTAACGGTGAAGCCATATTCACCTACAACGTCAGGCCAACCCTGGCATTGGGTGGTTTGAACAGGATTCTTATCACTTGCAACAAGAAGTGCCTACAAATACAATGAAGGCCAGGAGGTCACAAGCTTGTGGGGCTGTGGTTGCCCAGATCCAGGAGAAGAATGAGAAGAAAGCTGGGTAGAAAGAGCACTGCTACTCCAGTAAGAAATGACTTTAGAAAATCATCATTCTATTCTCATGGTTGTCCCTTTGCATGGAACGGATGATAATCCCCCAGGCAGCTCCTACATTTATAGCTGGTGCTTAAAATCCGCTGTAAGAACTTCCTTCCCCTAGCTTTACACTTTGATCCCTGCTATATGCAAGGATCCGTAAGTGGGACAATCCTTTAAGCTCCCCACAATCGCTTATACTTCAGTTGGAAGAAAATAGAGACCATTTCCTCTGAGCAAGTTGATAGAATAAGGGGAAGACACCGTGAGTGCCCCTGGCCCCAGGGGAAGGGATGCCAATGGTGAGAATGCAGCACAGAACGGAGGTTTGCTAGAACCAAGACTGGCTGCATCTACTTTATTCACAGTGCTGCCTGGCTATGGCCCAAGAACCTCTGTGGTCACACGGTGTGCCAAGGGAAATGACCCCAGCAAGAGATGCCATTGATTTTTTAAGAAGACCAAACAGTTATCTAGGTCACATATTCTTCTGTTCCTTTGCAAAGCATCTTCTACACGAGCTACAGTTAATGGCATGAGACCACTGTTGATGCTCCACATGCGTGATGTAAATCAAGACTCTCACACCCACCGTCCTGAACTCTGTCCTCTTTGGAAAATACCAGACCTTTTATCATTGTTTGCAAAGCCCATGGGCGGACGATGTTGAAGAGGCATCAGCAAATCAATGAACTTGAAAGGTCTTACTTACAGTGTGTGCTTCACACAGACATCAAAGAAGCCGTGCTCTTAAGCTCTGCACTCACTGTTGGAACCAACTGATCATTTCACCGTTGTCTGCACGGTGCCGCGGTGTTTTTCTGGGGTTCTCCGAGCACGTGTTCTCTGAGCTAACATCACATGTTACCAGAGGAGCCAGAGTCCCACAGGGCCTTGTACTTTAAATGGAGAAAACCTCTGGTCTCCTTAGAAGACAAGGTTAAAGGTGGAAGTGCGGGGATCCCTGAATAGAACAAGCATGCTGGTGCAGTCGCCTCGGTCTCCGCGGGGGACTGGTCAGGATACTCAGGTGCATTATATAGAATGGTGTAGAGTGCATGCGGCAGCCCTCCGCATCCGTGTTTCCACAGCCCGTCCAGGGGATTCGGATGCGCACTCAAGTGGGAGAACCCCTGGTCTCAGCCAGCATCCAGCAGCACCTCTGAGCCCTCAGTGACTGCGCATCTACAGCGACTCTTGTCATATCACTAGAGAGGAGTCAGGGTCGTTATTGGCGTACCTGTCAGCCTACCTCGGTTGTAAACCCGCAGAGGGCAAGAACTGTTTCTTATTGTATTTGTGGACCATAGTGCTTAACACAGAATTTTCCAGACTGCAATAAT